AGTTGGTAATGGTGGTCGATGGCGATTCTTTGCCACCAGATCGTGATTGTGATGGTCGATAGGGGAGCGGATGATGGCTTGCGATGGTCTTCGATGAAGGAGTTTGGAGATTATGCTCGTTATGGTTTCTGTGACATCCCCAATTTCTCGGCCAGAAAAGACCGATTTATTTATGCTTTGTTTTAGAAATCAGAGTGATTGTTTAAAGAAAACGGTTGCGGAATTTGTTCCCAAAACAAAATATGATAAAATTTATCAAAACGTTTCTCAATGAGAATGTAGTTTCATTAAATAATAAAACCTCGGGATGTCATGTTCCGATACAGACCATAAGCATAAACAATATAAAATAGACCTTACAACAGTTATTTATAACTACTGATCTATAATCCAAAATCTCTCATCAAGTTCACCAACTTATACTCTTGTGCTATTACCTGTAATGTAAAGAAAACTGAGTGGGTCAGGCTTGGGAGCCTGGTAAGCATATAGGGTTTTCAACCCACAATAATACATTTATTATATTCAATTATCAAACAATCAACCCAATTACCCATCCCCATTATCTTCTTTATTTCTTAAGGAACCTAAGAATCAACTATCCTTTATTCATTCGTTCCTAAGGATTTACCTAAGGAATCGGCACGAAGTCCATTGCTACCAAAGTTTATCTATCATGTACTAAGTCCATAGTTATCAACATTTATCTCTCAAGTAGTAAATCCATAGCTATCAGGCGCTAACTCCATAGTCACAAGGTTCACTTAACAGTAGGCGCTAACTCCATAGTCACCAAGGTTTATACAATAAGCGCTAACTCCATAGTTACCAAGGTTTACTTAACAATAGGCGCTAACTTTATAGTCACCAGGGTTTACTTAATAGACACTAAGTCCATAGTCACCAAGGTTTATCTAACGGTAGGCGCTAACTCTATAGTCGCCAACTATCCCATCTACCCTTGTTCTACCCAATATTTTTGTAGATATAAATACTTACACAGTTTAAATCATTTAACTCTTGTATAAAACATCAATTCCATTCCCATTTCAAATAGACAAATAATATATAACACATAGCACGTATTTCATAGCTAATACTTTATATTTACGTGTTAGAAGAAAGTAGTTATACACTCACATGTATAAACAACAATATATATACACATAGTACGTATTTTATAAAATACTTCATATCTATGTGTAAGATGAAAGTGACTATACACTCACTTGATTAGACGATGCTCGGACAACACTACGACTCTTCAAGTAGAACTCTTCGGTGAAATCGGGATATCTTCACACACCGGGTTTCTCACGGACAGAGCTTTGGCTCAGAAACTTTTTTCTTCTCGGGATCTTTGGGCTTCGGTACTTGCTTCGGGTCTCGGGGTGATACCGGGGCTTCGGGGGGTTAAAATTGCACGTAAAATGATGTAATATGGGACAGAGATGAGAGAATGAGCAACCAAACTCGGTTGGCCCTTCAAACCTAGTTATAAGGTAAATTTGGCCCTTGCCACGTCGTGGCACCCTTTTTCCACGTCGTGGGCTTGGTCGTCATTGCAAGTTGCATCTGGGGGACTCCCGGAGGTGTCAGGAGACTTGCCACGTCGTGGCACTGCTTGCCACGTCGTGGTCTCTGACACAGCTTTGGGGTTCGTACCCCGAACTTCAGAAATTCATAACTTTTGCATACGAACTCCGTTTTCGACGTTCTTTATATCGATGCGAAGATGAGATTATGCTCTAAAACTCTCGTTTAGACTCCATTGGATAATTTTGACTTTATTTTTAATATATTATAATTATATTACTTATATATAATTTTTAGTAGGCCGGGACAGGAAAACTCCGTTCGAAATTCATAACTCCTTCATCTGAACTCAGTTTTCGTCCGTCTTTCCGTCGTTGCACTACTATCAATGAGATCTTCAATTCTCATTTAGATTGTTTTGGAAAAATATCTCTCTAACATAAATTCACTATTTACGTCGCGCTGGGTCATGCCGGTTCTGTCGCGAAACTTCGACAGGTCATAACTTCTTTATTATAACTCGGATTTGGCGTTCTTTATATGCACGAAAACCTTGTGACATATACTACAACTTGGTTAAGATTAATCATTCTAAATAATATTCCATCAAAAAGTTATTTTTGATGCTTATCGTCTCTAATTTGACTAGCTCTAATCTACGGGTGTTACAATTATCTCCCCCTTAGGATGATAATGTCCCGGAATCATCAACGAAATAGGACTTGCATAATGATTCCACACGTTATTTCTTCATCCTAGGTAATAACCGTAACTTCTATGTTTCCTCGAAAGAGTATTTAACTCTATGGCTTTCTTGACCGCAGAAGATGCCCAATCTTGCATCTGCTTATCGTACTATGTTGTACTTTCAATCGTAACCTTCAAGTTACTGTGTAAGGTCTATGTTTTATTATTTATGCTTTTGTGTCTGTATCGGAACATGAGATCCCGAGTTTTGATACATAATGAAAATGCATTTCTCTAAGAAATACTTTGATAAACCTTATTTTATCATGTATTGTTTTAGGGATAAAGTCTGCAACTCTTTTAAATAAATGAATTTACTATGAATTTATTTTAAAAACATAAATGAAACTTGTCTTTTCTGGCTGTGATTTTGGGAATGTCACATTATCCACCATATCTTCTACATGTCTTACCAAGTCACCACAACACAAATGGTTACTTTTAATATTATTCGATTATAAAACGTATTTACATATTTCTATTCCTTTTCAGGTCTCTATTGTATCACTGAAGATGAAACTGCAGTTTCTAACAAAATTTATGGCAATACAACACAAAAATTTGATACCATTTCAACACAATACAATATACAATATAATCATAAGTAAAGAACAATGCCAACATAAGTAAAGTACAAATATTAGTATTTATGAAAATACAATATTGTATTTAAATCGAGTTTTAGTTTATATTAGATCATTTAACTTTTGGTTTTATCTTCAATTGATCACTTAACTCGTTTTAAATTTTAAAAAGTCAGTTAACTTTTAATTTTTTCTGCTAAAATGGTCACTATTACCAATAATAACAGGTTATTATATATATATATATATATATATATATATATATATATATATATATATATATATATATATTCAAAATTTTGTTTTTATAATTTCACTTTTGTTGCGTTTTTTACATTCTTTTAACGATTCGTTTTTATAACCTTATTTTTTTACTTTCGTTTCTATATGTTTTTTGTAACTTCATTTTTAGTATATTTTCATGTTTTTTCACAATTTATTTTTACAACTTAATTTTTTTACTTCGTTTCCATGTTTTTTTTTCAATATCTATTTTACAACTTCATTTTTTATATGCTTTTCAATAAAATGTTTTTAGAACTTTGTATATTTGCTTTGCCAAATAGATGTAAATTAATTGAATTATAAAATTATTAATTCAAGTAGAAATTCTAGATCTATGTGTTTGTCACGTATCCAATAATGTTGTATAAATAACAACTTTTTCATCTCAATTCTAATGGTTTACCTATTATACCAAAAATTATACCCTATATTGTTTCTTACATAAAAATAATTAAAATTACACAACTTACAGTATACATAGTTTTTGTTATTAAGTTAGATACTAATTGGCTGAAGAAAAGCATGTATTAGATCCATAATGCAAATTATCGAACAAAACAAATATTTTAATAATAGAGAAAAACCAACAACAAAAACAAGAAAAATTGATGTTTTTTTTTTAAGAAACGTATATATGGGATGTTATTACTATTGTAATATGTAAAGTTTTTATACAAGAAGTTTTCTAATTATGCAATGTTACTGGATACACGAAAAACAAATAACTATAAGATTATCAATTGAGATAATAATTATATAGTTCGTTATTGACAGTTAATTTGCAAAACAAATATATGAAGCTCTAAAAAGAAAGTATGAAAAAAATTCAAAAACAAATTGTAAAAATGAATTTTGAAAAAAAAAACAACATGCAAGTAAAATAAAAAGATATTAAGTTGTAAACACAAATTTTGAAAAAAATGCAAACATGAAATAAAATTGAAGATATATAAATACAAATTATGAAATATAACATGTAAAAAAGAAAGTAAAAAAAAAAAAATTAAAGTTATAAAAATGAATAGTGGGTAAAAAATATAAAACTAAATGAACATAATTTCAAAAGTTTAGTTAATAATTAGAGCTTAAAAATATTTAAAGACCTAAAATAGCAATATATAACCTATTATTGCCCGTCCTAGTGACTATTTTAGCAAAAATTAAAAAAATTAAGCGAATTTATAAAATTTAAAACGAGTTAAATGTTCAAATAAACAAAAACCAAAAGATAAATAATCAAATATAAACCAGTTAAATCACCATAAAAATATAATATTTTTCTTAAATATAATCTAGACATAAGATGGAGTTGATCTAAACCCTAACTATCATATAACAACTAGCGTGTGATATAAAACTTTCTTATAAAATAATTATTTGTTTGTGCGTACGTTGTTTTGTCTCTTCGAAAAAAGTAGAGAAGCAACAATGAATACCATCTCATGGTATTGGTTATCCCTAGCCAGTATTCTAGCTAAATAATTACTATTATTATATTTTATTTATAGAAAGAGTACAAATCAAGAGAAAGATTTGGGTGGCGGGTCGGCACTGGCAGAAAGCATTAATTAATGTTTGTCATTGAGCTCTTAACTGTCTCCCATGCATTAGTATATATATAATGCTCTATATCACACTTCTATTCATGCATTGCTTGCTACGAGTCTATTTTTTTCTTCAACTTGCTACGAGTCTGATTATCTTAATTAAGGGAGGCATTTATTAATGAAGACAATAACATAAATAATACGTTGATGTGAGTCTTGACTATTTAAAGGGCTCTTCATACCTCCTAATTGCAAGCTTATGAAACTTAATTAGAGTGAAGAAAATCAAACAATCGAAAGGATGATTTGTGTTGTATATGAAGGCTATGGTTCCTCCATACCCACACTTATATTCATTACTTGCATCTGGTTACCATTTCTTCAAATCAAACATGCACTTTTCGACATTCTATCCACCATTTGCACCTTCTTTTACACATGCCATCATGACCATCTTCATCACCGCGTCTTTCCTAATACCTTCCACCATTCGGATCTTCAGTTCAACGACCTTTTAAATAACAATGGTGGTGATAATGCCTGGTCCACCATGAGATCGGTAGACGAAAGCTGTTCCATTTGCCTGGCTGAGTTGCAGGATGAAGATATCGTGAGTCAACTCAGTAGATGTCGTCATGTGTTCCACACGTGCTGCATAAAGAGCTGGCTCCACCAGGATCAGTTCACTTGTCCGCTTTGCCGGTCAAGTCTGTTGCTTATTCCAGGGAAACCGGTCAAGTAGAAGCAAATCTATGACCATCCTTTACTTAGCTCACAAAACAATGGTAATTTGATGATAAAAATTTCTAGGCAAATTAGCATTGTTTCATCAACTTCTTGGACATAAAATCACAAGTTACAGCAGTTCTTCTAACTTCATGTATGGTATGATCATCATCATATGGTATCTTAATTATATTATAAAAATAGTTTCCCATGTAGATTTTCTTCTTAATAGAACTGATTTCAGTAACATAAGATGATAAGAGTGTCAATGATCTTCATAATATGAGTTAAATAACATTTAGTTTCTGTGCAACAACGTTATTAATAAGATTGCTTTGGAATTAGAAGCTTACATTGTAGCCCACAAGCGTATAACATTGGTTTAAAATCAAAAAACATAGTTAGGTTTTATTAAAATAAAATCGAAAACACACAATCGCGTTTTAAGGTTTCAATCTGTTGGGTATTAGTTAATTATATAAATCACAAAAAACAAATCCAAAGACCCAAAATCGAGTTAGGACTTAGACTTTCCGAGTCCTACATTGTTCACAACTTTCTTTACATTAAACATAACACATTTAAAGATGATGATCTTATGTGACAATTAGAAAGTTCTTGTTATGATAACTACACGTTTGTGTTGGATATTTAGTTATATCTTCAAAAGTTCTCTAATTTTAACGTCAACTCTACAGATGTATTAAAATCGACTATATTATATTATATTAGGAATGGATATCAAGTTCAACGGTCGTTTTGTTTTTCTTATACAAAAAATTAACAAATAAAGAGTAAATTATAGAAATGGTCTGGTGCTTTGGTAAATTTCATAGTCTTGGTCCGATCAAAAAACTTGATATCTAGACATGGGATCACCAAAGTTTCACTACTACAAAAACGCTTATAGACACGGTTAAATCAATTAAAAAACTCGGTTTTGAACAATAAAAACTGGTTTCAAAACCGGGTCCTATCAATCTAAAAATAACGCGGTTTAAAAAAAAAAAAAAAAAGGAACCTATAAAGAGAATTGAAAATACAAAAGCAGACCACACCAGGGGATTAGGTTGCGGTTTTATGACACAAAACCGGGTCATATAATTCAAATAGATCCCGTTTCAGATTCAAAAAACTGGGTTATATTAGGTTTGTAAAATACCGTTCTTTTGTAAGCAGTCGGGACGTATAATATTTAAAAAACTATGTCATTTTACACATGTCAAGGCCAGTTCCAGTTCTTATACATATTACATGTAACAAGATTTTTTTGCATACAAACTAACAATAAAAATACGGTTTCAAGATATTTGCCATGTTTTAAAACCCGGGTCGACCCGGACGGTTCAACCGGTTGGACCGTGACCCGGGGAAAAAGGCAGGTCAAATTAGACCGGTTTTTTGTAAAAATATGAACCGGATCGAACTGGCCGGATTTCCTCTAAACTGCGGTTCGACCGCTTATGTTGAACCGGTTAAACCGGTTTGATCCGTTTTAATAGAGTTTGGATGGTTGGATACAAGTAGCGAACGCCAAAACAACGAGCCGTTTGCGGTTTCTTCAATGTTTTTCAATGTTTAAACTTTGTGGACATCAAATTATTGGTTTTATATGTTTATGCATTATGCATGAAAGTAAAAATATATAAAAATAGAAAAAGACCATAAACCGGGTTGACCCGGCGGTTCAACCGGTTGACCCGTGAACCGGTCATCACACCGGGTCAACTAAAAAACCGGGTTTTAAAACATTGGATATTTGACCATGTTCTTTTTATTTGACTTTTGATAATTTTGTATTAAAATTACATACAATTGTACATTGCTATTTTTTACATTTAAATTACATAAAGAAGCTATCAGACTAATTTAACTGTACTCCTATATATCAACATCTATTAACACATGATCTAACTTGACCTACTTGTTAAGGATTGCTAATGTAGCATCAATCAAACTTCAATACTAGACTACTAGTATATGTGTTGCCACAAATTCACATGGCATCTTTAACTGGTATATGCATTTGCCACAAACTTCAATACCTTTTTTGTCAAGATTCAAAACGCACCATGTAAATGTCCATTTCCGCTCGAGTTTTACTAAATTGTCACAGATCAATCTTGTTTCATTTTGACAAGTTTGTCTCAATGTTCATCAACATGGGTTTATAATTATCAACAAAGAAAATGAGCAAATATAGGAGAAAACCCGATCTGCAAACATTTTCCTCAAATTAGCAACATTTTCACATATATCCACATAACTTTCCCCCAAACATATTGTAAATGTTTTCATCAATTATTTATTACGTTGTGTTTTTGAAATGTATGCTGTGCCTTTTATCTTGAAATTGTAGTTGATTTTCCTCTAAAACTATAGTAGAATTCAAGATCAAGGTTCAACATAGTTGTTCTAGTATCAACTGTGTAAACCAGTACAATAATGGAAGTTAAATGTAGGCGAGAGGAACAAAACCGATTAACTTACAAAAATGTTATACGTCCGACGACGAGGAAGGCGGTTGTAGAAAAGCTTGTAGTGTGGTGCACCATGGTGGTAGCTAGGGTTTTCTAGATGTTATTTTTTCCATAATTATATATTTTTTTTAGTGTGAAATGGCGGGTGTGGGAAAAGGTTATCTAATTTTCAACTTTTTGGCGTATGAAATGGCAAGATGTGAAATAATGGGTTGAAACTCTAAAACGTCATTTTTAATTAATACTAGTATTTTTTTTTTCATTCCAATAAGGTTTATATATATTTTTTAATAATACAGATGTTTCAATAATAAATACTAACAGACATAAAATCATAATAAAACTCACAATCATATCAATTACCAACCATTTCAATTAATAATAAACAATATTTAAAGAGTAATCACAAAACGTAGTATCTAATCATTATAGTTGATTATATTTTGTGTGTGGGGTGTCATCTTGTCTGTTTTTTTATCGTTCAACGAAATTGATTTATTTGTTTTGAAACTAATTAATATTAATAATTAGTTGGAAGGTATTTGGTCTTTTCTTTTATTGTTGGTAATTGGTAAGGAAGTTCAAATAACGAATCTTATTTACATAAAAGTGTGAGGTCATGTATGACTAGTAGAACGTTGAGGGTCTCTGTAGAAATAAAAAAAAAAATATTGATAGATTCTATAATGAATAATATGAATAAACGACAAAAACAATGAAGATCAAAAGGTGCCTAATGCTTAGGTTAAAACACTCTTGAAGAGTTCTTAAGAACTTCGATGTAAGAGTGTGAACGACAATTACGGTTACAAAGTATTCTCAATGATCAAGACGTTAAACCCTAAGGACATGTTTGGTTGGCGGAATTGGAATGGAATTCGAGGGAAAAAGGATTTCAATTCCCTCGAATTCCTGCGTTTGGTTTAACTTTTAGAAAAGGAAAGGGATTTCTAAATGAGAAAACATTCCTTCAATAGAGGGAAAATGCTTTCCTTCACCAACAGGATGGAATCAATTCCTTGTTAATATGGAAAGTTAAAATTTACCATTATACTCACCAAACCATTCTAATCTTCTTCTCCAAACCACATCGTCTTTTGAGGTCGTTGTCTTCTCCAATCTTCCACCAGGTTAGTGAATCGATGTCGTTATCTCCCACTCTCGTATATTTCATTGTGAAAAACGAGGGGTTTGTTAAACTCGACTTCTCTTGTATTTTCTCAACCTTGTCTCCTGAAAATTGATTTATTGGTAAGCAAATCAATTTATGTTAATCAAATATTGTTAAAATTGTTGTTGCTGTCTCTATTTTCCTATTTACAATTTGTTGTTGAAATCAAAATCAGTGTTCATGTTTATAAATTTCTGGTAATCGAATACACTATGAAAATCGTTTATAAAATGAGTTGATTGTGTTGTTTACATAATGTTTTTTTCTAGTTAAGAACAACAAATTCTTCCTGTTCTTGCTGGAAATCAATGTTTTTTTTTTTTTGCTTTCTTGTTTAGAAACAACAATATCTTTAAAAATTGATTGTGTGGTCTTAGATATACTTACTGGAAATTACATTACACCTTCAATACGATATGATTTTGTATGAACATGATAAATTCATATGATTAAGTAAAATAGACAAAAGGGCAGTTCGGTTATTTTTCATGAATTCCAATTTCATTTCCTGCAAACCAAACATGATCTGAAATTAACTCCAATTCCATTTCCTACCAACCAAACAACAGATGGAATTGCATTCAAATTCCTGACAGATTCATTTTCCAATTCCAATTCCAATTCCTTCAGCAACATTTCACGAACCAAACAACACCTAAGGATACATGCATTCACTATATATAGGCTAAACTACAAAGCATAAGACTCGAGAATGGATAGGCCCATCTCAGAATAAATAAACCTATACAAGTACATATATTTGACACAATACATTTAAACCCAACAATCTCCCCCTTTGTGTAAAATTTCGAAGGAGATTCTTCATTGTTGTTTCTTCTGCACCTTGAAAAATCTTGGCATCGAATTAAGAAGGATGTTCCTGACCACAATATAACACTTGATCATATCAGTAAAGCATTTCAGATCATAAGTGGTGTTTGCTTTACAAGCTTCAGTCAACCCTATAAGGGAGTTCAGTGCAGCAGTGGAGCACATGTGTTTGTCTTTCAAGAAAAAAAGTTCTTCTGAACTTTTTGAGCGTTCTTCTTGATGGGTTTTAGCCATAAGAGCATCCTATGTGCTCATGCAAACCCTAATGCTTGGATCTAGATTTCTCTATTGTACATGCAATTCATCCAAGACTTTAAACCCTAGATCTATCATACAATAAATCATATTAATATAAGATTGGGGTTTAGATCTTACCTTGATTGTTATGTGGCAATAACAATCTCAAATCCTCATTTGTAATGGCTTTAGAAAGCTTAGAGTCACAAGTGTCACACCTCTAATGGCTCACAAACACAAAGAGCAAGAGGATGAAGAATGATAAGAGAAAAGGCACCCAAAAAACATGTAGAAACC